AAAGACAGCATTAAGGCCAAACATGTTTCAGATTTTAACCATCATTATACGGTTTTCTGTGTTACATTAAAAAAAATGTTTCAGCGAAGATGTGCAAATTTAGAAAGGATAAAATAACCTCATTTTTTTTTGAGGTTTTAATTATATCTTCTGACAAAAAAAAAAAAAAAAAGCCTGTTAACAGTTCATCCACAGATGAAGAAATGTAAGGCCGCAGCTAGCTGGTGTCTCTTTTGCGTTATCAGCAGGCCAGGCTGTCATCTCGTACGCGCTCTGCCCAGCATCAGCTTTGGAGAGTACTCAGATGGCTTGGAGACTCCACCTTTTCGAGGCTACGCAGGGACCAGGATGGCCTCAGAGTCTTCCTCGCAGGAGGATGTGGGCAGCTCCTGGGGGACCCTGCTATCAAAGAAGCTTTGAAGTTGGCCTCTTCCCACAGAACCTTGCTGACTTCTTGGGCCGCCTTTAGGCCTAACCTGAACCAACACTAAGGATCAGGGTTTAGGCTAAGAGATCTGATAGCTCAGAAATGTACAAAAAGGATGAGGGATGCAAACCATGCGAAGCAATTTCACTGAGTGTTTGAGTGCCTTGGTTTGTACATTTCACAGGAAGGAGTAATTCTACTTGAGAAACAATTTTCCTTTCTGTTTTAGCTCATGTATGGCTCTAGTACTCTTGAGTTTTTAAAGTTAACTTTAAAACACATGCTATCGATCTGCTTTATCTTTTAAACAACTATACTTTCAAAATAATTAAAATCAGAGATTTTTTAAATAAAAATCATACACCTCATGTTAGTTATAACAAAACATCCAGGAGGGGCTTTCCTGAGTCCTCTCTTCTTCATCCATTCATATCAGTTATATATGTTTTTGTATAAAATATTGGTCCACAGAATGTTTTCAAGTATATATACTCTTTATTGCATTCCTTCATTTGCATTAAACAATATAATTATATTTTTCAATATAGTTTTGAACAAAACATAAAGACATTAAGTTCATTTAATAAGAGACATAAGTTAATACAATGTATGCTGCTTTCATAGGAAAAGAGGCAAGATCGAAAACAGATAAGGGAATCCAGGATACTGGCCACCAGGAATCAGAGAATTTCACGATACGATCTATTTTTTGAAAAGCCACAAAATAAGCTACGGATTAAAATCTGAAACAAAGTAGATATGACATACAAGTCTACCAAAAATATACAGATCACAAGATCTGGAGATAATTTGCCTTCTCCAAAGGGGACAGATGACAAAGCTACACCCAGGTGCCACTGTGGCAACAAGCCTCATGGGCGGTGTGAAGCGCATTCGGATGGCTTCCGATTGCTTGTCCTCACATTTTAAGTAGCAACGAAGAGAGAGTGGCATGCTCCATAACTCTCTCTCATCACCAACCCTGATGACCTATTCAAGTTCCTTCTAACTCAGTTATAAGACAAACCACCCATTCTCTCCCTTTGGAAGAAGTGGGTGGAAGGTAAAGGAAATGCATTAAATGTGTTGGAATGAACGCTGAAGGACTGAGAGGGGAGGGCTAGAAAGTGGTTTATTCTCTTCTGGAGAACAGTGTTTTATTTAGATGCTAGACTGTACAGAGAATTTAAAACAAAGATCCAATCTAAGTAGGTAAGCTAAGGAAAAGTGGTGATGCTAATAAGCCTTTAATATTATACTAAGGAACTGACCCATTTAGAGTTGGACACTAATTAGTGCTGAGAGGTTTGTCAATTACTTTATTTTAATGACTCCTTTCTTTTTAGGGGTGTACGCTTTCTCCATGCATATTTTCCACAAGTTTTTAACAACATCTACCAAGTGGTAATGATTAGCATATCTCTTACCACAGAGCAAATTAGTTAATTGAGGGGATTTCACAGCCAACACACTAATAATTTGACTTTCTAGTAAGAAAGATCTCCTGATTGCAACTTGGAAATATCTGAGAATGATTGAGAATAGCATGTTAGAAATCCAAAGCCCTGTTTCTTCAGGCAAAGGTAACCACCAGCTTTCTGAGAGAGCCTTTAACCAAATGCTCAGTTACCTTTAGTGTTAGCACAGGGAAGGTGTAAGATCATCCCTCGGAGCCCACATCTCTATCCACTGGTCCTGGTTGACCTGTAGAAAGTCTGCCTTCTCATAGGCCAAGTTTTGCAACATCATTACATTTATCGAGAGTTTCTGGGTGGTGGTGCTACTAAGAGCTTAAAATGTGTAGTGTTCACAAGTACAGTATATCTCCCACACCTACGGACTGAGGAAGAAGGAATCATCTTAGCTTGCATGGAAGGGTGAGCACGGCACTCTAAAGCAAATGTGTACCTTCCACAAGACAGTAGAATATCTCAGTAAGCACAAGGAAGGGAGTTTTATTGCACTAATCATGCAGCGTGAGCACGTGGTGAAGGCAGGGAACATTTCGCTTCGTCCAGCATCTTGAGTAAATCTACGGAACATCCCAGGCCATCTTTACTTTGGTCACTGTGTATTTGCAAATAGTCCACTTTCAAAGTCAAGGGGGCTACTGAAAAAGAAATACCCAAAATACACAAAAATAGATGAGGGTCTGCAAAAAGCTATGCATCACAAAATCACTAAAAGCTTCTTAAAGGTTTTTCTAAAAATGTCACTATGCATTTGCTATTAGATGAGCATGTCACAAAAGAAAATGGTCACAGCTCCATGCATTTAAAAGTAGGTTCCAACAAATATGTACCATTGAGTTTTTTCTTGCATTGTGACAAGGAAGTTTTGCGAAACAGGACAGGGAGAGCAAACCAACAGTACAACCAGTTTCCTTGCTTGGTCTCTCAGACCTACAACACAGTGAAGAATTCTAATAAATGGAAACAAAGTTGTCCAAGAAAGGTTGAGAATTTAAACTTTTATGCACCGTAGAGCAACATTTAGAATAGGCCCTTAGGTCTCAGAGTGGTTAAGTCTGCCTGACAGTCTTAAGTGTTACATGTACTTACGCTCCTTCTTCTCTTAAGAGAGCCAAGAATTTTCTCACACGGTATTCAGGATCCATCTAAATACATCGGAAGAAATAAAGACAAGTTAATGGTGCCGTCTACTAACTACTCACTTAAACTTCATGCCAAGGAAATGCTCGGTTTCAGACTTTCGTCAGTGCTCTGCTGAGTCACAGAAATGGGTTACCTGTTTCTTGACCAGCATTCTGATACACAGTGAAGCAGATTATATCACTCAAGAGAAGTGAATGAGATTTCCTAGCATAGAAAACGGCTATATCTGAGGTTCCAAATGACCCAGCTGGTTTTTCTACCAAGGCCCCTCAGCCACGTGCTCCCTTAGCTAGTGCTGTGCGAGGAGGCAGCCCTCCTGCGAGGACCAGTGTGAGACCAGATGGTGGCCATTCACGGGGGTTCAAACGGCTTCCAATTCATAGGACTCATGTAAACTTGAAGGAACCAACTGATATTGCTTAAATCTAAAAACAGCTTATTAATTCTTCATGAGCGACAATTTAGCTTTTCTTAGCTTTGGTCTTCCTTGCATAGTTTCTTCTTTGCAATTACTGAAAAAAATTGTGCTGAAACTGAAAAAATGAGTAAGTCTGACCCATCTGACATGATCTCTGCATAATACGGGTGTCCTGTGACTGAGAACCGTGTCACGAGGCTAAAAAAAGATGGAGGAGCTTCGGTTCAGGTTCTAATCATTATTATTAATTATTCATTTTCATTTTATATTCATATTTATACTAATTTGTTTAACTATATATCTTCTTCTTATTGGTCCACCAGAGATGTGAAGTTATCCAAAAAATGATCATTAAAAACATCTTTAATTCCTTAAGATGAATTTTTATTGTAAGAAACACACCTAACTTTTAAAAAATGTTCCAGGGCAGGAGTCTGTTTCCCAAGAGGGAACTCCCTGCCCTCCAGGAATAGCTTTCAAATGCTCAGTGCAGCTGTGGGTAAATGTACAACTGGATTCCCCCTCGAACCATTTTTTTTTTTAAAAGATCTCTTCTACCCCAGAAAAACATTGAACAGAAGTTTCAAATGTATCAAAGTTAAGAGGTCAGACTACAAAGGACTAAGAAAAAGTGTGAATAGCTAACAAAAGAAACAGTTTTCCTCTTTGGGAATAGAATTACATATGAATCAATTGTCAAGTTCTTAAAAAAAAAAAAATGGAACTGGCTTGAATGCAGTTGTAGTCAGTACTTGCAGGTCTCTGCCCATTAAATATATTTAATATGTGTGAGCAACGACTTACTGACTTGCCTGTAGCTATGGAATTAAAAGTCAAGAGAAAGGGAGGAAAAAAGTAATCTAGATAAATGACTTTATTCCCTCAGGTGACATCCAGTCAGAGCAGATCCTCAGCACTGTGCAAGTTTTAACAGAATTGTGTATAGTGAACAGAGAGGTAACATGACTTATATTCTGCTAAACTACATGCCTCTTCACTTAGGCTCCGTCTCTCTAAGGCAGATCTAAAGAGAATTCACTCAGCTGCACGAAATCCATTTGACATGAAGAGGTTCAAACTCAGAGGCCTATGAAGTGTCAGTCGCTGAAGATTAGGCCTGAGTGCCCCACTCTCACTTTCTACCCCACATGCATAAGAGGCATTAACTTGATCACTGACCTGCAGGCATGAAAGGAAGAGGAAGAGGTAGGGATTGGGGAGAAAACCTCACATAGTTTCTTCTATGCAATTATAGAAAAAAAATTGTGCTGAAACTAAAAGAAATGAAGAGTAGAGCTGACTATCTGACAGGTTTATCTTCTTCCAAAGAAAGAGCCAATACATCTGTATCTGCACCTTTACCCAGAAAAACTCGAAGCAAAGTGATTAGTCTGTAACTTTAATTTACTGCTCAAAATGAAAAATAAGTTGGCTTAACTGTAGTCCAGCTGAAAGTGCAACAGATTAAACTTTAGGTTTCTGAAAAACACAATTTTAAAATAAATTTACTAGCAAAGATTAAAAAGCATTCACTTTGTGTTTCTAATCTGTTATTGATCCAAGAGCCTATTTCAGGTGTAACTGGAACTGCATCTCTGCCATCACTGCTCAGTGATCGAATGGCCGGACTGAGCAGTAATACACGATGCTTAGAACGCAGCCTAGGACCCAGGACAGAGTCACTTAATGAAAGTTTACTGAGCACCCTACTATGTGTCTGGCTCTGTTCCAGGGGCTGTGGATTCAATAGTGACAGCCAACGTCCCTCAACTCACAGAGCTTGGTAAGGATACATTTATTATCTAACTTGTATGGTATCAGATAAGGACAAGATGACACAGGATGGGTACGTGGAGGGGTGGAGTTCCAAAAAGAGGAAAGGTAAGTTGCCAGTAGACACGAGAAAGTCCCAAAGAAGTTTCATCTGTCTTTGCCCAGGCAATGGCCAGGGGCTCAGCTTTCTATGTGAACTTGGAAGCCTCAACCCTACAGTAGTTGGCATGAAATGTCTAGGAGCCCAGTCCGGGTAAAATATACAGTGCCTCAGTCTAATCTGCACAACTCAACTGCCTCGTCCCTTAAAACAGTCTCCCAGGCCCCTTGTGGTGTATGTGCGGTAGCTTCCTGACCTCTGATAGACAGACATCACCCCCCTCCTCCATCAGTTGGTTGTGACCTTGGATAACTCACCAACAACCATGAGACACTCGGGGTTCATTTCTAAAGTGAGGGGCAGCAGAACAACTGCTCTTTGAAGTCCTTTCAAGTTCTAAGATCTAGTGACTCCTGAAATTAAAACTTAAAGTAACTTTATAATCTTTTCTTGTATTTTTGAATTTTAAGAAGCGGGAAAGAAATGTACCAATGTTATTGTTTGATCTCAGAAGCAGGCTACTGATATCAACTTGAGTTTGAAAATAACATAAGAGACTTATAACAAATCACAACCTCAGCAAAAGGAAATATACAACCTCTAGATATGTTATGAAGCGTCTCTACCTGGATCGTATGGAGAAGGAAGCACCTCACCTGTAGGGACATCTCGATCAACATTAGCAGCTTCTTGATTCCTATCCAGACCTTCTTCCCCTTTACTAGCTGTGCAATTGTGGTACGTTCCTTATCCTTGAAGTTGCCCAAAAGCTACAAAAACAATAATGACAGCACATTTATAGGAAGCACATTACCGTTATTACTTAATTCTCACATTTATCCTTAAAAGAATAGTGATAAGGACTAGCTAGCTAACCGGTTCAAGTTGACAGGATTCTCTCATATTTTAAAATCTGGCCTGAACTTCCTAAACCCATTAGTGTAATTATGAAAGTGAAAACTGGTATCCTAAATCCTGTTTTCCTATAGGTCCCCATTATAATTTAGAGATATATTTGCTGGGGGAAAAAATAGCTCCAATCCATAATAAATATCAGTTAAAATTTTTAACATTCCTTTCTAGGAACAATCTGTATGTGTCAAAGCAGCCTAAATTTAATTCTCTTACCCAACCCCAGCACAAAAGCTGCTCAATCAGGTAACCTGGAGACATTTATCACATAAATAATTTCAATTCTGTTGGGAGTATGTCCCAATTTTAAGAAGACTTCACCACTGTTGAACCAGTCACTAGATAATATTTTCTAACATATCATCAAGTCATTTGTGCACACTGATATCAATCAAAAGTTTAATGAAGGATTTTTAAAGACTTCGTCATCCTCAAAAATATTGAAGAAAACATTTCTATATTATGAACTATTGATAGAGTAGTTCCTTTTACTTCTGTAGCTTTTTTTGATGTTTCTAAGGTTTTAATCATTGTTCCAATTTATTAAATAAATACAAATAAAAAGGCTGAAAGCTACTAAAAACGACTGCTTTTTCTATATACTGATTACTCTATCTCCCTCACCCCATCCCAAAATCTGGCCCATGTAATCTCCATGTATTACTCATGCTGGGCACAGAGCAATTCACTCCTGGCAGTGTGTATGCTGCTGACACTGAGAAATGGGAAATTCACTCTTACAGTCATCCTTCTTCCTTTAATGACTGAAAACAACTGCAGGTATAGCCCAGGTCCCATATTCCAGGTTAACATAGAACTAAACACCAGGTGTGATGCCTGGCACCCCTTAGCATTATTTCCAGCCTCAACTCCTTTCTTAGAAACAGTGAGCAATCCACTGGCTCATTTTTACCTCCAAAGCTTCCAACAGCTGCTCTCCTGTGGCAATGTTGGGCACGTGGATGGTGGTGCTGAAAGCGTTGAGCATTTCCATCTCCTGAAGGACATCTTTGCGGCTAGTGGTCCCAATGATAAGAAGCTTGCGGCCCTGATCATGGGAGAAAACATGTTAAAATACACAGGATAAAACTAATTAGGAAACTAGGGCAAGGCTGAACACTATCCATTTATTTAATTGCAGAAATGCAAATGATTAGTCAATAGAGAAAAAAAATTCAGAACTTTTCTCTTGAAATTCCTCCAAAAAGTATCAACAACACGATTCAGAAAAAGGCAACAGCTCTTTCTTAGTAAAGCAGGGAGGTACATAGACCAAATAGAAAGACACTTTGGTATATGCTTGTTATTCATTTTTCACAGCCAACATGGTAGGTGTATAGTGGGACTTGGAAAAAAATGAAATGAGTGAAAACTCTGTGTCGCCCACTTAGCAAGACTCTATTACACTTTTTAGAAAGAGTAGGGTAATAATAATAGTTTATATTTTATGTAACACTTAACTGTAAAAGGCATAGTGCCACGTGCTTTACATAATTGTCTCATTTAATATTTTTAAATTTCATTTTTATTTTTAATCCCCAAATACACAAAAAATGTTAAAAACTATACCAGGCTTATGCCACCATTCCTGAGTCCCTCTCTTCAGGGGCAACCATTTCGATCTTAGTTTTTCTTCTGGTACTTACTTCCTTATCTTTAAACAAGGTTACACTATCATTTTAAGATTTTTTTTAGCTTTAAATATTACTTACTGACTTCCTATTATGGAAGATGGTTATTTAATATTAATTTTGCACTCCCCCCATGAGAAAAGGGATAAACCTTTTCTTATCCTTCCAATATAATCATTTTACAATCTTTCGTTAAATCTATATTGTGTTTATTATGATTATATACATGTGATTTATGGCTAAGCCAGGTACTATACTACTAATTTCCTTTCTTGGGCCACATTTTGTTTTTATTAGAGTAATTGCCATTTTCTCCCTTTATTGTTTACCAGGCACCTATCACAAGTTCATCCCCAAACAAATACAACTATGAATATCCTTTCAATACGTTCAAATATGTTAGGGAATTTCAAAGTTGTTTGTTTTTGTTTTTGTTTCCTCCTTGAACACATTCCCCTCCCGAGGTCCTCGGTTCTCAGAGCTCAGTCTCAGTGACTGCTCTCCAGGCCTGATGCACAGCTGCAGTTCTAAAACTGCCTTCTCTCCTCTGCTAGAACCCCTGTTCCTAGCCTTCTTTCTTCTTCATCTATTCTCTTTTCCATGGTGAATATACTTCAAAAGCTTCCTGAGAAGTTGGTATATAGGATGCAAAAATTAAACATCTCCTTGAATGTCTGGAAATGCCTTTATCTACCCTTAATACTGTATACTCTATTTATACTTGATTATTTGGCTAGGTATAGAAAACAAGGTTAGAAATAATTTTCCTCTCAGAATTTTGAAGGTATTGCTCCATTGTCATTAAGTTTTCAGTGTTCCTGGCTAGCAGACTGATGTCATTTCGATTTTGATTAACTTTTTTAAAAAATATAATTTTAAAGGAATCTTTTATCTCTATGTTCTGTAATTCCAAAATTATGTACCTTGAGATAAGTCTTTCTTTACTCATTTTTCTGACACTAAATGCGTCCTTTCTAAACTGGAAACTCCAATCATTAGGTTCTGGAAAATGTTTTGGGGATTTCCTTCTACATATTTTCTGTTCCCTGCAGTCCTCCCCCCACCCCCAACACTCCAGAATCCCCATTAGTTGGATCCTGGTCTACTATTACTAATCTACTTCTCTTTTCTTTTTTTGCTCTTGGTTTTTATTTCTTTTTCTAGTACTTTTTCGGTTAGTATCAACTTTATCTTCCAACTTTTATATTAAGCTCCTTCTATTACACACACTTACACACACACACACACACACACACACACACACAGTATTTCTTCTATAATATATATATTATTTCCAAGAGCTCCTTCTTGTTTCTTGAATCCTTTTTTTTTTTTTAGTTACATCCTATTCTATTTCATGGATACAGTACCTAATTTTAGGTCTCTGTGAATACTACAGATTTTAAAACTATTTTCTTCTGTTCTCTGCTTTGTCTCTGTTTCTTCTGAGTTCCTTTTTTCCTATTTGTTTGTTGGAAGCTTTCCTCGAGAGTCTGGTGATTGTTGGATGACTATATTCAAGAGTTAAACTAATGACTGGAAGAAGTTCCAAGACTGAGGGCTTCACAACTGGATGACTGGATAAGACTTGTCTGATTAAGGGCGGGGGGAGGTCCCTTAAAGGTCTGGATGTGTACATTTTTTTCCCCAGAGAAGAATCTTCCAATCTCCTTCCCAAGGGCTACGAAGCCTAATTTCTAGCACACTGGAAGTCGATAGGGGAAGAGTGTGAGTACCTCACCATTCGACATGGAGACTTTCATTTCCTCCTACTTGCAGTATGGCACTTTTTTAGAGCAATCTCTCATTTAATGTTCATTATAACACTGAGAACCAAGTACTTGTATTAGCTTTATTTTACTGATGAAGCTATTGAGTCTCACAGATATAAGGTAATCTGGTTCAAGGTCAAATAATTAATGAACGATGGAGCTAGGAATGGACACCGAATTCAGAATCCAAAATTGTATATTGCCTTTCTTCATGAAGAAAAACACATTTAATAAAATGTTTCCTTGGAAAATGGAAGAGGAATAAATTTTAAACTTATGTCATCAGATTTATATATACTCATTCCACAGATAAGACTTTATTTCAATATAATCATTAAAGCTATTCACAGATCTTAGAAGCTCAGGACATTAAAATAAATGTGGAAATAAATTCTGTGGAAATTAAAATGACTGTAGAAAAAGATTTTAAGAAATTGAAGACAGATGCTAAAACAATTTCAATGGGGTTTTGTAAACATTACGCTACTCCTGTCAATAAGGCATGTTAGCCTGTCTCACTCTTACTCGCTGTTTCTGTCCATCTACGGTGCCAAGAATGGATAATGCAACAACATAAACAAAGGCACGTCAAAAAAAAGTTGAGATCTTCTGATATTACTGGTGATTGGCAGATCAGATGACTGTGTAAGGACTACGGAATAGAAGTGTACCTGTGAAATATACAGATGAAAGGGTAATCATTATTCTTCGTCGAGAAATCAACTAGCTACAAATCAAACACATTATCATCAGACCTTTGCCAAGCTCCTAGGTGAATAGGAAATAAGACCTTGTATACATGAACGGATACGAAAGAGAGCATTACAACACAACACGGAAGGTGGAGGTGTTATCACAGGACGTCGTCTCGGTAGAGGGAAGAAACACGAAGCAGAGGAACGTCTCCTTCTCTGGAAGACATAATAACTAAGCTGAGTCTTAAGAATGAGCAGGTCGATTAGGAAGATGAAGGGGAAGGACATTCTAAGCCAGAAGGAACAGAAATATGTAAGTTCAAAGGTAAAATAACAAAAACAAAAACTGGGGTGTTGGGGTAATTACGAACACGTAAAGACTTATAAAATGTCTACCATAACGGAAAAGTGGTGCTTTTATACTCAAGTATTTTTCAACACTAAATTCTAATAGTAAACTTAGGAACACATTCTGGAAGCCTAACAGATGCCAAAGGCTGGAACATCCTCACTACATTTAAAGGTAACTGTTACTTCTCTTTTTTTCCTTAGGTGTCTAACGTTCCATAGCCATAATTCGAACTCCCTCATCTTGTCCCTCTCTCACGGAGAACAATGTTGGCCCTAGTAGAACAGCCTTGAAGAAGTTCCTTGCTCATTCCAGAAAGCTGGAATTGCCATTTTCCTAGTGAACCTTTCACTAGGGTTAACATGACTGTGCTCTTCAGAGTGTTGAAAGACTGGGAAACGTAGAGCAACTTATAATGGAGACGCTAATTTATGTTTTGCTTTTCTTCTTGTTTAACAAGACTGCAAACATTGCAGAGAGGTCACGACCCAGGCAAGTTCAGGCCTTGACTTGTAAAGTATCATCTTTAAGAAAACACCGAAAAACATTACCAAATAATTAAATTGTGCTGGGTCATTTTGTATATTAATTAGTGGAAATGCTCATGAGGAAGATTTATCATGAAAAAGCAGCTCTGAATGTATTAATATAATAAATCGCATTGGAGAACGTTTCCTTTTTGGAGGAAAAGCTGCCAGCAGCATGACACGGGAAGGCCAGCTTTAAAAATAAAAGTAGGGCTTGACTCAAGAGAGTAAGTCCAACTTGTTAATGTGTGGCTACTAATCTTATGCTTACAGAGAAAGAAATTTATGGAAAGAAAAAAAGTAGGGAGATAACTTATTTGGGGGAAAAAAAGTTGTTCCCAGCATACTCTTTAGTGAGATTTGTTAGTCCTGCTACAATAAAAAAAAGGCCTAAATAAAATGACTATCTGCCAATCGGATTATGATATACATTGTTCCAAGGTTAAATAAGTATTAGTTAACTAATTCTTAGCACCATAAGAAGGAACTCAGGTGAAAACATTACCATGAAAAAGGCAGGGCTCAGTCAGGTGTTGATCCTTCAAAAAAAACACTTCTTTACATGATGAAGAATGAGCAAAGTACTAAGCAGTATCTAAGCCTTTTGCCACACAAAGGACTAACCAGATAATCCACACCCTTTCATAGGTCCTGCCCACTGATTGGCCCCAATAAACTGATTTGTAACAAAAGTTCATGTGGAAGAAAGCTTTTTTTTTTTCCCCTTAAATAAAAATGCCACTAATATAATACTGCAGTGAAATGGAAGGGCTGATTTTAACCTGTGAACAAAAGTAAAGTCAGTTATGCAGTAAAGAAAGGCCATTCTTTCCATATCATTCAGGGCCGAGCAAGTGTGATACATCCTTGGTAAGAGGAATTAACGTGAACAATTGGAAACCCTGAAATGGATTAAGAAGTGAGTATAAAAGTGCAACTCCAAACCGCTGTGTGCTGGGGCCTTAAACTTTATTTTCTGATTATTAGGATTTGAGGGTTTTGTAAACAAAAGTAAAAATTTTCAGAATATTAGGAATTTATAATCCCTATAAAATACAACAGATTAGCTGATCAGATCATTAACAAGAATTTTTTCTGTTCAGGTGCTTAAGGAGTTATGAGATTTGGTTTGTGCCTTCAAAGAGATTACGATTTAGCTGGGAAGAACAAATAATAGTCAGGGATAGCTACCAAGTAACACATCAGTAAAGATAAACTCATAATGGCAGAGGGGACACAGCACATGGGGCAGTTTCATCGGAGTAGGGTCACCTAGGAAGATTCCTGTAGTATTGTTGACTCTGACCAAGAGGAGGCCCTGGAGAAGGGATGGGTCTACGTGCTACTAGGTCCTATGAGGGCGGTGGAGGCCACTAAGCCAGAGCAGGAAGGGCTGCAAACGAAGTCTTTCTTTCTAGAGAGATGAGGAGTGGGCACTCAGTAAAGGGAGGACTCAGAATGCTTAAACTAAGGAAGAAGATTTAATATAAAAAGCAACAGGAAACTAAAGAAGGTTCCCGAGGAGAAAGAACTGTGATGAAGAGCAAGATGGTCCTAGCAGCTACATACAGGACGGTCTAGTGGCCGGTGAGAAAGATGCTGCACTTGTGACACGCCCGAAGAATGAGCATGCCGGGAAGGATCTGCACCTTCCGCCAATACCTCACATGTGTGACATCTTTTTTAATGGAAGCCCAAGGCTGGCAGTAGGAAAAGTACAGGCTCCATCATTCATAGCTGTGTGATTCTGGCTAGATTATTTAACTTCTTAGGACTTGTCTCCACCTCAACCATAAAAATGGGATTAAAAATCCTACCTACCTGTCAGAGTAAGGCATGAGGTGAAAATGCTTGGGGGCAGGCGGGGGGTATTTGCCATTATTGTCAGAGAGGGTAAGAATGAAAAGAAATGAGAGCTTGAACGAATGGTCTTGAGAGGAACGTGGAAAATCATGCTCAGCCTAGGAGGTTAGGAATCCATAACGTTAGGTCGGGTGAGTGAGCAGTGAAGTGCCTGAGAATCCCTCTTCCCAACAACACAGGCACCAGCAGCAAACCATACAGAGAGAACATTCTCCCAGAGGGCCAAGATTCACTCTGTTCAGGGAAGAAGAGAGTGCCAATCTTCAGCTTAACTAGGGTTACTGTGAGGCTCAGACAAGGCCTGAAGCTAAAGATCAAACACTCCCTCAGGAGTCGTGGCAGCGGGTGACAGTGAGGGGCTTCAGTGAGGGGCCTCGGTACGGGGCAGTGACTTCTGAGGACACAGTCGGTTCAGAGCAGAGGGTGAGAAAAGGCTTTTTTGTGGTAAGAGGTGCTTCAGTCTACCACTTATCCTGGCTTCATTGTTGAAATGGGAATAATTTCACATATTTTTACTTAGTTTGTATTATTCAATCCGGGGACCTTAAAAAAAAAAAATCTACCTACCATAGTGCTTTACAACTTTATTGCTGCATTTATTTGCAAGTCTGAATCTTGTTTCTAACCTGTCAACTCCCTGGAGGTAGGAGCCATGTTTTATTCATCTAAGTCCTGGCAGTTCTTAGCACGGCACGCCCGGCACACAAGATACTCATGTGTTCCCTCTGCCTAGAATGCTCTTCCCTTATATAGCCACATGGTTCTTTCCCTCAGAGTCGAGGTGTTGCATGAATGTCACCTTTTCCACCAGGCCGACCCCCCCACCCCAAACCCCACTGAAAACCGCAATGCCCTCTTCCTCACCTCCCTTTATCTTGATGTTTCCCCCAAAGTACGAATTACCTTTCAGCATACGAAATACTTTGCTCATTTAATGTCTTTACTTATTTACTGTATTTATTGCTGGTCTTCCTTCATGAGGACAGGACTTCTGTCTGTTTGGTTTTACTGATGCATCCAAGGCTAGCACAGCACCTTGTACAGAGTGAGAAGTTAATAAATTTGTGTTGAATGAATGAATGGTGACCTCGGTGTAGGTTTCAAGGGTAGCAAATCACTCCTTCCTTGTTACATTCTCTCTTCTGGCCCTGAAAATATGCACATTATACTAAGTGTGTGACAGGAAAATAGACCTCTGAGCCCCAAGTATTGAATGCTATGATAACAACAAGTTTTAAAGAAAATGATCTAAATCATAAATGGTATATATGCTTCATCTACAATAAAGTAGATGCAAAGGCTGTCATAGCTCTTTCTTTTAGTCAATTAATGGATCAATCAATACTTAAGCTATTGATTAGGTAAGACAGACTTCTCTAACAGAAAAGAGAAGATTCATTAGAAGTCATTAATTTAAACTATGAGATAACAAGTATTATCAAGCGTCTTCTACGACTCTTGGTTTCCACAAACCAAGAGGAAAAACTACCATTAAAAACAACCAGGAGTCTGGACAGTGAAAGCAGAGGAACAGGGCCTCTTCGCACATCCTGCATGCATTTCTGATTTCTCATGCTCAAATGTCTGCAACCTCTTTTCCTTTTTTTTTGGTAGTTAAATGTTTAAGTTGAATACCAAAGGAAGGATGTTTCAAATAAATCATGCTACAACTAGGCAGACAACGACATTTAAACTCTCCATTAGACTTTACCCTGAAGCAAATTCTTAGTCTACTGTCTTTGTAACCATCCTCACAGTGCCTCAAGAAGGGCAGAGGACAATAAGGAGGGGAATTCATGATGCAGGATGGATATGAAACAAGAAAATTCACCTCAAATAATTGTAAATAATTACTATAGGCAAGCAGCCCACTTTGTGATATTAAAGAGTATTTTAGTACCAATTTGTGAAAAGAACACTGAATCATCAGATTTTACACTGAGAATAACTATCAAAGATTACCTAGTTCTCTCTCCCTCTCCCAGTTATTCTGCAGATGAGAAACCTGGGGGGAGAGGTGAAGTGACCTGTCTCAAGCTTCCATACCCAGGAGAGAGAGAAACTGAGTCCAGGCCTCGCTATTATTTCCACTACACTTTGCTGTCCACTGTTCTCACTTGTGTAATTTTTAACTCATACAACGGCCGATCCTTAATTATGAGTAAGGTAGATATATCACCTAGAAATTATGACCTCTGAGCTCTCAGGAGAAAAGGTTAAAAAAATTAAGAAAATAAAGTTGTACTGATCATGCCACAGTACTCCCAGTGCCACAGGAAGTTGTGTAGTGTGTTCTCTCACTAGAAACGTAGCTAGGATAACAACCACTGATTAATCCAAACTCCTCGGCCTTGTACCCACAGATTTTCCTTACTTCTCTCAGTTTTTAGCTTGATATGCCCTAAAATGACCCCTGTGCTCCATCAGGTCAATATTCTTCTTTCTCATTTAATTTCTAACTCTGTGGTTTTTATCCATAGTATTCCTCTTCATTAAAATGCTTTCCAGAGTTTTCTAGCAGGACGCAAATATCTCTTCTATTCAAGACATTTCAAAACTTGACTTGTTTCCACGTTCCGCCCTCATTTGACCCTACACAACCTGGATTGCCCCCGCAGACCCTGACCCTTCAGGACATGGAGTTGATGTGCCCAGTAACAATACCTTACTTAGCTGGAGGCCAATCTGCTCAACAATTTCAACTGTCCAGAACACAGCCAAGAACCATGAAATAAGCAAAAATCCTCTAATTTCTAGGACTGAAAAATAAATAAATAAATAAAGTAAGGTTCCAGCGACTTTATTGACAGGTAGTGCTGACTCCTGGTTGTTTTTAGGCGCAGTGGCAAGGGCCCACAAAACTTTGAAGAGCTAACAAAGCTAGTCTTTCTTTTAAAATCAGGAAGGAAAAAACAGACCTTTTAGGTCAGAGAAAATGTTCTAAATACCAACAGTTGGAAAATAAAGCTATTTTTTTCCCCGTGGAGGAAGGGGCCCCGAGGATGTCAGAACGTGGCTCTGCCCCAGCTCTCGTCATAGCCCACTTACTCTTACTTTACAAACGACCCATGAGACCCATGAGTCCTGACGGCCGGTTGCCTTTCTAGTTCACAACTGACCAGAAGCCATAAATTAGAAGAGGGGGAACTGTTAGAGGCAGGTGGACTGACACAACTCGCTTGGATTCTGCAAGTAACAGCTGATAACAAAAACCATTAAAAACAAGAAAAGGTACAAAATAGAAAAACTCAAAACAAAACAAAAATGGGGCACGCTGGGCCTCTTTAACGACTACCACGGCAGTCTTATACACTCCAACAGTTCTTGCTGTTGCTTGTGATATTACCGACCCACGTGATTACAGTTTGTAATGATGATCCTTATTCATTAACATAGTGTTTATTATACTTTGCTTCAGATGCCAAAGATAGATGCAGCAATTTTTTCCTCTTAGAAAGGACTAAAGTATAACAACGATTGATATTTAAAGAGCTAATATTAAGCTTCAGTCATTCAGAAAAAATGAAGCTTTTGATTTCTTATGAATTCCCATTTTTCTCCCCAGTGCAATGGAATATGCTACATGAAGGCTAAGATAAGTAACTGTGCACAAAACGTATCCTTAAATTCCCAAGTATCAGTAAGTACGTAAATAATAAATCAGCGAATTCGGCATAGGCATATCCTTCACTCTTTCTCCCCACTGCTGCAGAGCTAGAATTCCTTAGCATGGCACGATGGCCCTCATAAACCTCTCTTTTAATTCATCTCTCAGACCAAGATCAAGAACTACTATTTGTGAATCGTTTGCAGATTTTCTCAGGTAAAATGGACCCGGCTTTCCTTTATTCCACTGGAATCCACGTTACTACATCCCTCATGTTTATACATCTCTCTCCCTCACTGGATTGTGATGGGGACACCAGTTAGCTTCTGTATCATTCAGAAAAAAATAACCCTCCTCAGTGAATTAGGAAAAGGCAGCTGTATGGGTGCACACAACCATCTTGCCCCCAGCCCCCAAAGGCCCAGCACCGTCTATGAGTCAAAGGCAGCCCTTTTCCTCTTCCTCAGGGGCAGGGTTGCCAGAAAAAAGCTTGAGTATAAGTATAGCTCAAACACCACAAGGGCTATGCTTACACTAAAAAATGATTTGATGTCTTTCTGGAATTTTCATTTAGCTGGGTATCCTACATTCTTATAAGTCTGGCAGCCCTGCTCAGGGCAGATTCAACTCCACACACCAGAACAGACAGCTTGGTGAGCAGGGTGTGGGCTGGATGTTAACCCAACCTGTGCATAAACTACACAACTGAACAGGTGGTCCGGGATCAGGAGCTCTTCGAGGGGCAGGTACAATGTCTTATTCATCATTGTATTTCTATAGTGAGGAATAAATGTTTATTAAATGTGCATCCTAGTGAAAGCATATATTCCTTAAAGTAATATTTCAGTCTTGCTGATCAAAAGAAATATTTTTGGATGAAAAAGAAACTTCCCAACTCCTTTTCATGAAACTTAATACAGCTGTCACCATCTATCTTAGTCGACCTTAGTCACACCTTAGTCACACTGGCATTCGACTGTCATAAGTTCAGACTGGAAGCACGGCATGGAGCTGAATGCCAGGTGGGTGTCCAAGGACAACTGTGAGTCATGAGGCACTTCCACACTTTCACGCTCAGGTCCACAGGGTGTCTTACAGACCAGACCTTAAATCAAATCAGCCTCAAAGAAAATATAAGGTTAAAAAGATATACATAGACAAACTTAGAGATAAAGGTAGATTCACTTAACTCTTAGTCAAACAGCAAATTGGTTGGAAGGACTGGAATGAATTTTGACAGTTATGCTGCTAAATTACAAATGAAAGTAACAGCATACACACTATATTTCTATTTTTTCCTGATTATAAAGTAATAAATGCTTATTGAAAACAATTTATAAAATACAGGAAACAAAGTTAAAAAAATCACTTATAATCCTACCATCTAAGGCATAGCAGTTGTTTTTAAGATGGAGAAAATAACAGAACTTCCTTTAACTTTCATTTTAAATTTTATTCTTTAAAATTTTTCCTTTTTGGTATATGTTTTAAAATGAACATCTTATAAAATAATAGATGTATCAAAATATTGAAAGGATGAGCTCAAAATTTTTTTACTAGTAGCGGTATGCGTTCAAAAGTCTGGTGGCCATTAATTGAAAGGCAATCACAACAAACAATTTTGGCCAACTTCCTCTAGTCCTTTTTTCTTTATAACTGAAATCACACTATGAGACTAACAGAGGATTAAGTGAAAGGGGACTTGATAGGTATGCAGACCGTTGCTGACATAGGCCCACTTAATATAGATAACAGGTCATTAGCTGGGTGGCCGGAGCTTTTCATCTGACTGCTGTCACTTGGTATTTCGCCCTGTCCTGCCTTCTCATTACTGTCCTCTTATTCCGGAAACTGGCCCCCTTCTTCCGCTTGCTCCAGGGCTGCCTAAGGCAGGGTCTGCAGGAGCGCACGGCGGCAGCGAGGGGAACAGAAAGCTGCTGTGCTCTTTTCTGTCAACATTTCTAGGGCTGGTTTCCTCAGCAGTGGCCATGTGGAGAAGAGCTCCTTTGATAGCAGTTGGTTACTTTGTTGGTTCTATATACATATATTGTGTGAGGAAAGACAAAGTCAGAGTTTTCTTTGAAGTGAATAATAAACTAAGAATTGAGTTGTGTTCTGCAGTTTACCAAGAACTATAATAAACATCTTATTTAATTCTCCCTACTTAAATATTACTATTGTTCCTATTTTACAAATGAGAAAATTGAGGCTCAGAAGAGACCGGATTCAAATTCGACCCTCTGAATTCTAACTCCTGGGTTCTTATTTATACTGCCGATGCCAGTACTACATGTAGTTAAGACTCACCATCTCCAAAATACCCATTCAAGATACTATCATCCACATAGCCTAAATAGTTTTAAAAATATTTTAAAAAGAAAGAAAAGGCAAGGCCACACAGATTGTCCAGAGCCTCTTTCTGTTCCCCTAATGTGAGGGGTCAGTACAATTGTCAAGATGAAGTTGTGGTTATAGACCAGGCGGTGGCTTAAAAAAGACCAAGGCCTGGTTCCATCTTCATTCCAGTAACTATCAGGAATACCGATGGATTGTTCTGGATGCTTTGTAAGGTTCCTCTTATTGGCTCTTCTTACCCAGTAGCTGTCATGTCGTATAGTATTAAGCCCCCAGGAAATCTCCAAAAATCTGTGTACTTTGTTTTGGGGACAGGATGGTAGGAGAGAAGCTGTGAAATACTATTCTGTTCCACCTTGAGTAAGGAGAAAGGGGGAACTTTAGTTACAAGTAACAGGTGGCTGCTGGGAAAAATCAAGTAGGGGGGCCAATCCCTGGAGGCTGAGGACAAGTAATGGGTAGTGTCCTTAGGAATCTCACAATGGCTAGAAGCCCTGGCCCTCCCTCTACTCCTTACCTTGTTGAGAACTAACATTTCTGCCTCTACTTCATCCTTCTTTCTAAAACAGGTATCCAACCTCCAGGCCAGAGCTTTGTCTTAGGACTTAGAAAGCTTCTCTATTTTGGCAATGACAGATGGGAAGCAGGGTGTCCCTATTTCTTTTTCCAGTATTTCAAATGAGGGAAGTTGTGCCCAGGAATTCCAGGCTGAAGCTCTGAACTCACTTTCCATGAAAATTTGCTATATATAGTACTTATAGCCTTTATTTTCCTATCTTACAAGCTAATGGTTCTGTGGACTATCTAAAGGCATCTCTTTTCTTCAACAACAACAACAACAACAACAAACCAGGAAAATATATTTCTAGTTCCACATAATAGTCTTAACAAAATACTAGACTCTCTAAAAACTTTGAAATAGCAACAAAACAGAAAGAAATAGAATCTTAGATGTCAATTCCTGGACCTCAAGCAATGGGAACATACAAATCAAGAATGACAAACATCATCCACTTTTTGAAAATTTTGGTATAAGACTATAAATCGGTTGTTTACAAATGGCATTCTCTGTGGACAATGGCATATCTTCACTTTTCAGTAACTCTATGCTTTGTATCTTATAACTGTGTAGTCCACAGGTTTATAGAGAACTTCACTATACATTATCTTAGTTGAGGGGTAGGTAAGGTGGGAGGAATTATCTCCATGTTATAGATCAGAAAGAGACACAAAGGTATTAAAGGACTAGTTCAAGGTATTATAGCCAGAGACAACTGAGCTAAGACTCAAACTCAGGTTTTCTAATTCCAAGTCCAACACAAAGAGTAAGTTCTGCAGAGACGGTACTCAAAACTAGATTTGTGGCACCGTGGAATGCTGATACTAATTGACACTTTTCTAAAACTGATATCAGGTCACAGTAATATATTTAAGGCAATGGGGCTAGATAAGGACATTCTGATATACCTAAAACTAATACGATATTATATGTTAGCTCTATCTTAATAAAAATCTTAAAAAAAAGAAGTCAAGTTGAAATTACATAAATCAATATGAAGTGAAAGCAATTTGTGACGAACGTGACATAAAGTTGTAGCTAAGCACATATGGTTAACACAAAGCAATTGCTATGTTTTTTCCCACTTTAATAAAAAAATAAATATCATGAAAAAAAGACATTCTGTCAGTGAGGGGAATATTCTGTCTCAGCACCATTAGCATTTCTCTGATGACTGAAATTCGGATATTTAATTTTAAATTATCTGAAAATGATATGTATGTATGTATGTCTTGTAATTTTCTTGAATTCGTTAATAACTATTATAATGTGCTCTACCAAAAAACAAAACAAAAAAACCCTATTTTGAAAACAGGGCTTTTTATTCAGCAGATATCTGCAGCAATGTTTTATAAGAGGGCTCACCAAATTTCTTTTACTGTTTTTGAATGTATTCGAAAGTGTGCTATATATACAGTCATGTGCCACTTAACGATGGGGATATGTTCTGAGAAATGTGTTGTTAGGTGATTTTGTCATTGAATGAACATCCCAGTGTACTTACCCAAACCTAGACGGCACAGCCTCTATTGTAGTCACAGGTGCTGTACTTTCATAAGACTAGCTGCACAGTAGGTTTCTTTGCACCAGCATCACTACAAACACGAGTAATGTGTTATGCTATGTGACAGCCACAATGGCTGTGGTGTCACTAGGCAATAGGGATTTTTCAGTTCCGTTATAATCTTCTGGGACCACTGTGGTATATGCGGTCCATCGCTGAACCGAAAAGTTGTTCTGCAGCTCACGACTGTATGTGTATTTCATACTGGTTCAGTTCACGTAGAATTTTCTGAGACAATCTACTATATTAAGTAAAGTATAGTAATAGAGAATTTTATACGATATAGTAGCCATCTCATGTCACTGATTTAATAAATGGGAAAACTGAGCAACTACGTTGTCAATTATCAGACGGCTTTTTTTCAATAAAGTCCAATGCAAAAGCCACCACATCAGTGATTACGATTAATGTGTCTGGCAAAATGACTAAACCTCTTTCCTCAAGTGGTTATATATCTTATTGAGTCATATTATAGTCATTAGCTAGAGTTAATTTTGAACAGATAGATGGGGAGATACTCATGTTTAGGCCTGCACGATTTGGAGTCTCTTCCATTATCTGCTTATTTCGCTAAAGCAACCTTAAGCCTGAAGAGTTGCTTAATATTACCAAGACTTCCTAATAACATCTCTGAATAAGACGGTACTAAGATGTCATATAAGAATCACATAAAAAATGATCTTGTCTAATGTTAAAACGGAGCCTGTGGAGGAACAAATATGTCTGCCTGAGTCCCCATCAGGGGTTTACTAATGGTTTCTTTTTAGTTCACATGTTATGCCCAGCTCAGCTCTAAGACCTACCTGTTTCTTGTTAGATGATATTCCTAGGGGGCCAGGGCAGTAGAAAGTTATTTTTTCCCACAACTTTAGCTAAAATGCTAACAATTAGTTAGTTAGGTCTGCGTTCCACTTCACTAATACTGCTGTGAATTTGTAGTGATCTTCTTCTGTAAAAGTTTACATTTTCTGAAGAGTTTTGCAAACTGGTATGCTGCTAACGAGTTATATAGGTGGACTAAGATATTGATGCTTGTCAGTCCTTGGGAAAGCTGGGTGGCACTTGTGGTGGCTACATCTCTGGCCAGCAGTGAGTGGCCTCACGCCTTTACCCGAGGTACCTCATCATATGTTCCCATTTTCTATATGCCATAATCTGGAAAAGGTTGGGAAGCACTGAACTGAACGAGGAATGGCTCTCCACAAATTACCAGGCATTCTGGTCCACACTCATGTGGCCTTCCAATGTGATTCCCAAAAGTGTCAAGTGAACCCAGCATCAAGGCGCTCAGGTCAATGGGCTTAACCACTCCCACCCTTGTTGAGGAAGCGAGGAAGTCATGTCACTTTACAGCCGGAGCGGTGCCTTTTCAGGCACTTCATTCTCTCTCCCCGACCCCCACCCTAAAAAAGAAGGCAGCAGAAGAGATCTATGAGGAAAATACTGAAGTCGCTGGCGCTGCACGTTGCGGGAAGATCTACCTGGCCTTACCGCTTTGCCACTGACATTAAGACGAAGGCTTTCAGCCCCCTGATCTCGAAAAGCACATTCCCCTCAACTTCTATAAATCTGCGAAACTTGAAAAGAGCCCCAGTGTCATCAAGCAAAAGAGCCGGCTTTAGGACTCTCACTGGAAGGCGGGGTGTCTTCGAGCCTCTCACTGCTAAGCCGGACATTTCCTAACACTGGACAAATTGTACATCCAGCTCAGGGAGGGTGAACTGCAGTGGTCTTTTACCCTCCAAGCCAATTGTTAGCTTTTCACAGGAATCAGCAGGGAAGCACATGTGAAACCTCTGTGGTGACGGTGAGCACCCCCACGCCTTGTGTGACTCTGCATGTAGATGAAGCAGGCTGGGGGCTTTCTTAGCTGCTGCTGCTGAGTTCTCAGAGCAGCCCTTTTCTCCGGCGTGGCTCCCTGCTGGGACAGCCCTTTTCAATTTTTCTATCCCCCCTCCATCTCTTCTCCTGCAGAACACAGGGAAACTTGATTGAAATAAAGACCTAGGGAACATGTTTTATTTTCTCCTGTTCAATCCATTTTAGAAAAGCTTTTAATTGGTTTTAAAAAGATGCTAAACAAAATGTGATGATGTTTTTCAGTCTTCATGAACTACAGATACGACTTTTTATACTTTCAAAGGGCTAATAAATCAATCATGAAATTAACTCTCCAGCTAAATTTAAAGCAAATCCACTGAATACTGGGTTCATTAAAAATCTATGCATTTACTTAGAAAAATTTAAAATTCAAAGAAAATTATCCTAGTAACTGAAATCTGACTTGAATTTTTAGTCCTACACTGAAAATCCAAGACCAAAGCAATCACAAAGGGAAAAAAGGAAGGCTTGTGAACCAGTTTTAATAAGCCAATTTACAACGAGGGAGGGGAGTGGGGGAGGGGAGAAGTAGAAAAGAGAATATCTTGATACATAACAACATAGTGCCCCTAAAGGGATTCTTTTATTTGAGCATGTGCGTACATGCACACAATCTTTCTGTGTGAAAGCTGGAATTACTACAAATGCAAAATGAAGGGATTCTGCAACTGATATGATTACTCTATTGTAAACATGTACAGTTCCCTTTTTTAAAGAAAAATGCGTACAATTTTTCTATTTCCTTGACAGTGATAAAATAATAGCTTTCTACCAGTCGATGCATTTCTACAACATTCAGATTCATGTATTTTTAATATTTAATTGAAAATATATAAAATACGAAATGCTTCTACTCTAGAATGACAAATATCCTTTACACTGGATCGGCCTGAAATTTCTCCCTTATTTTCCTTAGAGAACAGAGACTAATTTTAAAAAGCAAGGTGATACAGAGAAAGCATATTTTTATTTTCTTAAATATATGCCAATAAGAAATATTTCAAATGTTAATTTCTTCTGCCACTGATGCCCTTATATGGGAGGTCATCTAGCAAGCAGTCCAGGTCAGAGTCACCAAATTCTGATTAATGACAGGATGGTATTCTCTTAAAAGAGAATCTTTGCCATATCGATCTCTATGGCGACCAGAGCTATCTGTTACTTCGCACATATTCCTATGTTCTTCCTTTTCATTCCTGAGAGAACTGTGTTCCACATCCCCTTTTAATAATCCAATTCCTATTTCTAAAATTTCTGCAAAGCTGGGCTAGGTGTCTTGGGTGCTCACTCCTTACTTCTAGCCCTTTATATAATTCTCCTTTTATCATTTAAGTGGCTTTTGAAACTACTTTCTTTTTTAGAGGTAACCATTTTATTGAGATATAATTTACATAACATACAACTTACAGATTTAAAGTGTACGATTCCATGGTTTCTAGTATATTCACAGATATGTGCGATCATCACCACAATCAATTTTAAAACATTTTCATCACACTGGAAAGGAACTCCATACCAATTAGCAGTCATCTTTCGTTCTCCCTATTCACCCCTTGCAATGCTAGGCAACCCCTCCCAAATCTACTTTCTGTCTCTATAGATTTGCCAATTCTGGACATTTCACAAAAATGGAATCATACGATACGTAGTCTTTTGTGACTAACTTCTTTCGCTTAGTGTGTTTTCAAGGTTAATCCACGTTATGGCATGTATCAGTACTTATTTCTTTTTACTGCCAAATAATATACCATATTTTATTCTATTGGACGAATATCTGAGTTGGTTCCACTTTTTGGTTATTATGAATAATACTGTTATGAACATTCATGTACAAGCTTTTGGGTGGGCATATATTTTCATTTTTTGGGGTAGTTAGAAGTAGAATTGCTGCACTGTTTACAAAGGCTGCATGATTTTTGTATTATCACTAGCAGTGTACAAAGGTTCCAATTTCTCCATATGTACGCTAACATTTGTTATTATTTGACTTTTTGATTACAGCCATCCTAGCGGGTATAAGTGGTATCTCACTGTGGCTTTGATTTGCATCTTCCTGATAGGTAATGATGTTGAGTACCTTTTCATGTGCTTATTGGCCATGTGAACCTTACTTAATTTTGAATCTTCCAACTTTAATCATACCTTGCCAAATGCAAACTATAGCAACAGTAAAACAGTTAATCTTACCAAAATAAGGGGATATTCAAAAAATATATTACAAACAGTTATTCCTAAGTGCTTAATCAAAATGTTGCAGGTCATTTGTTAATATGTTGTTTATTATTAGTAGTATCTGTTTTGGATTACAAATAATTCTCAGCTAGGGGTTGTCTCTCTGTTTAAATCAATGTGTATAGTACTTAACAATGTAAAGGACAGGCAGTTTGAAAAATACCATTGATAAATTATTTTCCCTCTCCCAAATGACTTTTAGCATAATTTTTTTATAGGTAAAAAAAAAAAAAATGTATTACAAGAAATAAATGCCCAGAAAAAGCCTCCCAATCTAATAAGTTTTAAAATGCTGACTTTATAAAATAGGATTTTTTGGTATGTGACATATTTAGATACTAGGGTTATTTATTTTTGCTCCAGCAACCTTAGATATATCTATTTACATATTTATTGAAAGAATCAGAGAAGGAAAAATATTCTCACTTCCCTAACTTCAGCATTAGTGTGAGCTAAAACTCTAATTATTGGGAATGATAGTTTATGGAAAGATTATTAAAAATACTTTCGTAATGCATATATGTAATAAAATTTCGAGGTTGTAGGTTTTCTTTTCACTATTCTAGAAATTAAAAAAAAAAACATAGAAAATCAAAGCAAGTCCTTCCTTTTAGGTCTAACACACACACACACACACACACACACACACACACACACACACAATTTTAACCATAAAATTAAAAATTAGACTAACTTAATATTAAGTAGTTTCCATACAGCTTAGTTTATCTATCTTTAACTTCGAATATGAGATTCCCTTACAGACATTAAGATGGTTTTCAAGTTAGTACTCAACCCTTTTGTATTTGCCTTTGATTGGCATTTCTTCAAGGTTACAGCATGCAAAATCAATCAAGAGAATTTGTGTCATGTGTCATAGCCAAACATGCTCTGGCAGCCTCTACATAATTAACATATTTAACCAAGCCTCATAGGTTAGTTTTAAATGTGTTATCAAAATCACCAGTCTCTAATAGCCACATCAGTAAAAATGCAACCACATGAAGCAAGATCCTGGCTACAGACGTACTACTTAAATATGTCACATGTCACAAGAGAAATAACTCAAATTCATCTGTAATTTCTTTTTAAATCTGCTTATAGGAAATAAATTTTTCCAAATACGAATTCTTAGCAAAACTTATGAAATGATAAATGAAACAAATGGTAACATGTATTTAATCCTTTCTATATTAATATCATAATCTCTCATAGGAGATGAAGGGAGGTTAAAGATGTGTAATATGATGGGGAACTTAAAGAATACAACAGTACTAATTGAAATGATGGGATTTTGAGATCTTCAGGAAAAGAAATGAGAAACTTCTTTGATTGTTAAGAAAATCATTTATCTTACCACAGAAGGCCAGACCAGATGACCTTCAAAATCCCTCAACAGAATTAAGTATGTTTATGATAACCTACTTATTTAGTGTACCATCATATGCAATTTACTAGAAAAACTCTGTGAAAATGTTCCTTATATTATTTTTACCTGAGGAGGAGCCTTTTTCAGTAACACAAGAAGAGCCTGTAACACCAGATTCGAAAATCGGGGGCCAATAGGGACATAATCTAGAAGAGAGACATTGCTGTGTTTAGGGACTGACACACATATGCACATATTCCAAACATTTTCTACATCAGGAGGAAACACAGTCCCAAATAACAACAGTTATGCAACGAAAAGAAAAAATGAATGCTTAAAATATTAAGAACGCTTATCTGTAAATTTTTTTAAAAAGCTTCTATATACACATTTTGAGTTCATGTAGACATCTTTGTCTGATATTCAGAGGGAGTTTTTTTTTAAAGGGAATAACCTCCACCTCCAATGTATGGACTAAGCATTTCCAAGAAATAACTGCAAATGACGGCAATATAGTGAGTACAGACAGAGGCAACATAGCGCCATGCAAGAAAATGGGTAAAGGGGAAAATGGCAAGTAATAATATAAGCTACTTCAATAAAACTGAAAAGATGGTAGAGCCATTAGGCTTGGTCTACAGATGGTGAAGAACAAAGAATTCTCTACTTGTTGAATTTCTACCAATCCTTGAAGATTTAGCACAAATGCCACCTCCTTAGCTCTCTCCACATACTGCACCTGCACTCCTGCCCTGTGCTTAGAGCTACGTTCAGACATCAGCCCTCTGAAGTCAAAAGTGATCCTTTCCTTTTCTGATTATCCAAAATAATGACACATTCTACTTTGCATTAATTTTTGTCAATATGTTATAACAACAGACAGCATCTTACTTAGTTTCGAGACCCTAATAATTCTAACACAGTAAGAGCTCAGCAAATGCTTGTTGAATAAATGAACAAACAAGTACAGATAATAACTATTCATGCAAGTGAAAATATACTCAGAGGGCACACATTCCTGACACAGTAGTGTTGCTATGACCACACATCTCAATTGTGTTTAGATAAAGGAATTTACACAGAGCTATGAGTATGTGCCTAAAAGCTTTTAAAGAAATAATCCTATAAACTGGGCTGAAATGTATCAAAAATAGCAGACCAAAAACCTAAGTCACTAGATAAAACTATCAACTTAAAAAAACCTCACAGATATATCTGCTTTACTTTATAACAAACATTGCCTTAGGAAATAGGAGAATAAATAACAGAGGACCTAAAGCAGGTTTGAAAATCATGGGAAAATTGTAGTCAGAGCAGTTAACTTGAAATCATTACTGCACCATTATGGATAGCTTAAGGAAGAAGGGATTAATCAGGTGCTGGGTGGTATCTTCAGAGGTTTATTAAGTCATTTGGTGGGTTCCATTTCAACAGAGTTCATTACAACATCCTGAGCCATTGTTATAATACGTTTATTCCAGATTTTTCTAAATTTTCTAAAACTGAAATTAGATGAAAAAGTAACAACACTTCTCTGGAGCTGACTTGTAGATTATGCTTTGTGAGGTGACCGCGGGGACTGCCATTCATCTTTGTACCCTGTAGGAGTGCACTTAAACTTAGGAGATGTTTAATAAATATTTTTAAAAATTACGCACTTTTCACTTTCAGACTGTTTTCAACATCATTATTCCAATTTTGTCTTCACGATTACTCTATGGGATAAGTAAGGAAGGGGATAGAGTCTCCGTTTTATGAGAGCAGAAACTGAGGTAAAGAGAGCTTGCAGCTTCTGCCCCAAGTGTTATCTCACCCTAATCGTAAACTCAGAGGTACTAAATAGCAAATATACCCATTAACAAAAATTATTCATCATTTATTATGGGCAGGGAACTCTGTAGAAGATACAAACGAATATGAGGCAGGGGTTTCTACAAGAAAGAGGTTTATAATGGAGTTATGGTCATAAGGCATATTTAACATGAATAATGTCATTGACTAGAGAGATAAGAGATAATGTTATACTTCCTTACAAGGCAAAGAAAGGTATTTCTATTGCCTTACAGTTTATAAATACCCATTATGTAATGTGGCACAGACAGTACAACAGCAAACGTTACGACTCACCAAGCAGTCTCTCAATGTCGTCCATTTTTCTTTCGTAATTAGTGAGACATGAGCTGTAATGTGGCATAGACAGTACAACGGCAAACATTACGACTCACCAAGCAGTCTCTCAATGTCGTCCACAACCACACAACTGAGCTGGGATTTGTATGCATCATCAAAGATCTGGAAGAAAGTAAAAACATTTATTATCTCACTGCTCTCCATAATAATGACAATTTCCAAGAAGATAAAATTTAGTTAATTCTTGAGCAATGCCTAAATCAAGCAAAGTAAAACACCAATACTTCAGACTATACTATATTAGAATTTAGTAGATAATAAGATTTAAGAATTAAGAGTACTTGCAATTTAAGAATGAGGAAATCAAGGCCCAAAGCAGTTAAATGACTTGCCAAAGGCGATACAACTGTATCGTGGCTATGTCATGCCCGGGATGCTGAGGAAGAGCTGGTCATTAATTAACTGACGAATCCCGTCAAGTTCATAACAAAGGGCTCTCCTCTCTGCATCAGGAGCCTGAACTCAGTGTTGTGACTCAAGAGTTGCATGAAGCCACAGAGATGTGTAGAAAAAATTTGGATGTCATTTTATTATCTGTAAGAAATGTGGCCCTGTTAAGCAGGAATAACATTGAAAGAGCAGAAGCTCGTCAACTCAAATCAGACCATGATGGTCAGTGTTTACAAAGAATTAAAGTTGGGTATAAAGGATCAGAAAGATCTGGTTCTATCTTTAGAACCAGGCAAAAGATAAGAGAGCCAAAGAAATGGAAATTAAACGAAGCAGCGAAAGAAGTTGTTACATCCTCACAGGGATGTCACAATTTCGTGGGATGTATGATTCTTTATACATAAAGAATCAATTTATGTGTAAGTCGAATATAAATGCCCAAGGCCTTGAGACCAGCCTTTTTGTAAATGTTGGCGGTTCCTATTCCAGAGGCTATAGCAGGGCCTCAGTGCATCCCAGTGGTGTTGTCTGTAAAAATCATTCAGTCTCCCTGGTTGATAAGTAAGCTTGGTACAGATGGTAACCACCACTGCCTCATCTTGCGTGAAGTGGCGTAATATTCCTTAGCACATATCTTTTGACTACAGAAGATTAAGAATTATGTATAGAAATAAAATAAATCAAACTTACAATATTAATATTTTTCATACTAAGTTTAAAGACAATCTGTGTATATTTGGTCTTTATTTGTAACAATTAAGAAAATTCCATATTAGATTAATAGATTAGCCTTACTAGTTCTATTTAAAATATGCAATTGAATAATTAATTTTATTTTGGAAGGTAAAAAATAACTTTAATAGCCTTGCAAATGGTAAAGATAATCTAAGATTAACCATACTTACATTACATTTTGATTTAATTTGTTATTAAATAAATATAATTGTATACGTACTTTGAAACCTAGAATGTTTTATTTATTAGACAAACAGATGAAGTACTTGAAAAATAAAATATTTTAAATGTGTAAATATAGTTTAAGACATTTAAAGAAATTAAACCGTAAAAGTCTTAAGTAATTGCAAATTTTATTAGATTTACAAATAGAATAAAAGACGTAAGTGGACTTTTTTAAAGTTTAAGTTGTGTGCGTGTGTGCTGAAAAACTAGGCCTTAAATAATATAATGTTAATATGTTGAATTTTAATTTTTTTACATCTCAAATTAGCTACACGTGGTCTTTTCTATGTCAAAAGTCAACCTCAAACATGCAAACAACAACAACAACAAAAGTGAAAGCAAAGCAAAGCAACTCATGCTGACGACCTAGATGGCAGGTTCCTCTCCAGCACACTGTGTTCTGTAGAGTAGGAACTGTCTTCCTCGGTGTTATGTTTTCAGGGTCTGACACCTCACTGGTCCTTAATCCATGTTTGCTGCATGCACGCATAAAATAATGATCTCTGTATCCTCACATCACTTGGTATAAGTATAATGCCTTACCAGAAAAAAATCAATCAATATTTATTGAAAGAATAAATTTAAGCATTTTATATTCAAGGAGAAATATCAAGTAAGTAGTTGGAGATGTATGACTGAAGTTAGGGTATGGAGAAATTCCTCAGGACAGTGATTGCTGAAATCATGAAAGGGAATGAGATCTTCAAGGAGAAATGGTAGAGGCAGAAGAATAAAAGGCTAAGGGCTGAATCTTGGAGTGTTGCTCTATTCATTCATTCAACAAATATTTTTAAAATTCCTATTATGTGTCAAATATTAATGAAGGCAATAAGTAGTAAATAAGACAAATATGATCCTATTTTCACAGTGGGAAATACAGGATGATATGGTGGCATACAGCAAGGGAGCTGTGGTATACAGCAAGGGAACCAGGATGTGTACGGGGGAATATCCATACACATCCTGGTTCTCTTTCTGGCACATGGTAGCACTGTACTCCTTTACCCTCTCTTACATTAAGTATGATTATGGGGCTTGCTCTGGTTATTGAAATGTGAGTGAAAATATATTACTTTCTTAAAGGAGCTGTAAGAGGCATGGCATGAGTCACCACATTCCCTTTATCTCGCCTTGGCTGTCATGGAATCACATGTGAGATGGAGCCTCTACTACCTCTAAGCTTGAGTCTCTGAGAAACTTAACGAGCGGCCTTCTCTCTCTGAGCCATGATGGATACGTACTGTGAACAAGAAATAAACTCTGTTGAGTTAAGCCGGTGAGATTTTGGGGTTGTTCACCACTGCAACATAACTCTATCCTGACTGATACAAAGGCTTATGGAGTCAATGCTGTGCTCCTAAATTTAGGAAGTATTTAAGTTAAGACCTGAAGGCTGAACAATCAGTGAAAAACAGTGAAGAAAGTTATTTCATGCAAAGTATACTGAATATTAGGAGGCACAGAGGTGAGAAAATTCAGGAGCGCTGTAGGAATTGACACGTAGTAAATAAGAATTCAAATGAAGAGGTGCTGGTGGGTGAGAGATGATGCAGAAGAGAAATGGAAGTGACAGTGGAAAAGTCTGGAAGCCGTTCCCCTGTGGTTCTTTGCTATTTTTTGAAGACTGGACCAATATGAAAGCCAACGTGGTATCCTACAAACTCAGGTGATCTAAAGGAGTTACTGAAAATAATGCTTTGTTCTTCAAAACAGTTTTCATTATTCCACTAAAGGCTCTGATGCAAGTGTATAATTCTGTCTGTCAAGCTGTAATATCATAGACTACAGCCACAGGTGCCTGTGACACTATTTTCTACATTTTTCTGCCACTTCTCCCTTCTCAAAAACAGTATAGAGTTTTCATGGCTACAGAAACCTTACCAAGAACACTGCTTGGGTCTAAACTGATGATAAACTGCTATGTAGTCTCACCAACTTATCTCAGGTACTGTGATTCATGATGCGTTACAAATCACTTCACAGTCGATTGCATGGCCTACCTATAACATTTCAGAAAAAAAAAATACCTACAGCAGTCATTTAATGTAAAGTAGTTTTTTTACTGACAGCTCTTAATGTACTAATTACTATCACGGGGAGAGAAGTACTCAGAGGAAACTCTCTTAACAACATACTAACCATGACAAAGGCGGTACAATTCCAGTTGTAACTTGACCGGTTTCAGTTGACCAGTCAACTGAAACTCCTTTGGGTAGCAACTCTGCTCTAATTTAAATAAACACACCATGTTCACTTCTTACACATTCTTTTCCTTATCTAGTCCCTAGTATAATATAAGATCACCACTCTTCCCCTGGATTCATGTTTTCTGCCTGATCTCTTCGGCCCCTTCCATTCTTGGCTTCCTGGCCCAGGACCCAGCAGAGTAAGTTTGCTAAGGAGATACTGAGATTCGACTGGCACATACATGGGATTAGCTGTTGGACTAAAATCTACATGAGATATTTATATACTAAGCTGGGCATTTCTGCCACAACTTTAGGTAGATAAACCCAAAAAAGGAAAGTACTAGAAGCAAAGATGCAAAAAAAAAAACAAAACAGTAAAATTGTTCAAACTGCCCCAGCTTCATGACTACCACTGAAATGCCAAACCTCCCATCAGGAACAGCACACAGCAGACACACAGTGCCTGCTCCAGGTCAAACGATGCCAACACAACAGTGAGCCAGGTGGGCTGAAGCTGTGGCTAATGGTTGTATCTTACAGACTCTTTAATAAATTAATTTAAATTCTGATCCTCTCATTTAGTAAGATGAAAGTATGAAGCTCAAGCCTTTTCTTGCTGGAGAGGTTATCAGTAGGGGATCATATACGTTATCATGCAAACCAGGACACCTGAAAGCAGGGGGATTTTAATAATCACACTGGAGCAACAGGTAAAAACCAGGATTGCTCAAAGCAAACTGGGGTGTATGATCATCCTAGTTTTATCAGGGAGTTTCCTACAGAGCAGGTCAAATTTCAGCATATAAATCGTCTTCAGGTCAGAGAAGTCTGAAAGAAAGCTCAAGAAAAAGAACAGGAAGAACTGAAGAAAGAGAAAGTATGAAAAGGAGTTGCTTCGCTGAACGTAGAAATAATGAGAGGACCATTCTAGAAAATATAGAACATCACTAGAATCTTATAGTCTATTTCTAGCTGTGGACATAATGAGATTGTGATCATTAAACTCTCTGGTTTCACTTCTCTCTTGTATGCCAAGGTAGGTGGTGGGTCTTAAGAGATGACCTAGGATGTGAGGAGCCTGGGCTCAAGGCAACAGCAGAATGGATACGCTCTGTAAGCACTGAGGAAAGGGAAGTGTGGGGCTCCAGATACGCGGGGCTGAGGGGCAGGTCCGAATATGGTCCTCAACGACGGTGCAAGCTCTCAAGGTACACAGCCCACCCCTGGAAACTGTAGACGAGCTGGGAGGTACCTGTGTGTAGGGGAGGGGCAGCAGCTGCAGACTCTGGAGTCTACATGAATACAGATGGGAACATGCCAGCATTAGCTCCATGTTAATCCCAGCCTTTCAGAATCACAAACCACAGCAAAGCGTGTTCTAAGTAGATTCTGTCCTCCATTTTCTATAACCTCTTTAGTGCTCCGAGGTAAGTGAAGCCAAATTCTCTGCTTCTTTTGGGGCCGAAAGAGTTCATCTCAATTCTGAAGTGGTTGGCGTGAAGTACCTAGTTAGAAAGACTCTGATGACTTAGAAAATCCCTAATGTAGTAAATCTGTCAACAATTAGTTGAAAGCATACTCTAATCATATTTGGTAGCATATAAAAACGTAAATGAGCAAATTCAAATCAGTGCTATCAGTAATAATCTCTAGTTTCTAAAAATAACTTGGGAGTAGACCAAGCAAACATTAGCTGTCTTCTGATGAAACTGCCTCAGGAAGTGGACCTAAACTTTTGGCAAAGCCCTAAAGCTTCCTGGAATGACCTTAAAATCCTTTATTTGTTCTCCCTGCTTTTCAGGAAAAATTCTTACATTTTCATATAACATGAGCCACCAAATGAGGTATTCTTAATAATATAAAAAGTCACAAGGTCTGAAAGATCTGTACCGTCCTCCTTCGTGTGCCAAACAGATAGAAATGGCAAAAGACAAAGTGCATTAAACAGAATGACAATAAGCGCCTGCCCTCCCAGCCACACAGAGACCTATAGTCACTTCTGGAGTGTCCACTTCTCTCAGTTAATACATGCACAAACTTCAACAAATCAGCTACGTGATATATTAGGATGTTAACCAAAAACATCCAAATTCTGTTGCTTAGTAACTGCTGTCAAAAGATCCAATTTCCAGCTCTGCTCTTTGTATGGACTAAACCATGAAAAGAGGAGGATTAGGCGCCATGATTCTGTTCTGTGCAGACTACAATTTGCAGTGGGATTTACAGGAGGATATTCAAAGAAGATTATTTCTTTCTTGCAAAGCTAGTGGAAAGGAAAATTTCTTCCATTAATTTTCAGTCCTTTAAAAACAAGACTATGTTATTAATGGGTATAGTTTCATAAGTCAGTGATATTTTTGCTTAATTTTGTTCAAACAATTTAGTCACATCAGACTGTCCTATTTCATCTCGGTACAGATTGTGCACTTGGAAAGCATCAAGATTAGGTAATTAGTTAAAATCAAATTCTATTGCTTCATTCTTTAGTTCATTTAATGCCACTAATAGAACTAGGAAACAGATTTTTTTAAAGGTATAGATGCAAAAGTGGATAATGGAATTAAATTTTTTAAATAGAATGAAGTTGGGAAAACAAACATAAATGGGGGAAAGAGGAAGATTTGTGAATACTTCAAATATCTTAATGGAACATATGATATTCCTCTCAGAATGTGAGGGTAATACCTCATACAGACTTTGGCAATACCGAGGAGTTTATCTATGGTAAAAGGACTTAGTAAGTAAATTAAAAGAAGCACAAGGTGGATTTTAAATTAATTGAGAATAAACTACTTACATATATTTTAACACCATCCGTAAGTGAACAAAAAGCAATAGCTTAATTATAATTAAATCTTAGATACTCATTAAAGCAAGCCTAATGACCCTCTCTACTTAAAAAAAATTCTTACCTCTTGGTTCAAGTAATAAAATGACATATAAAGATATTCTATGAATCAACTATCTAGATCATCCCTCTTTAACAAATATTAACGTGTTATAATATTTCTGAGTTTTACAAATTATTACCATTGCAAAACATTTTGAAAAATCTTTAAAATTGAGCATTTAATCATTAAAATGTAGCTGAAGAAATAATTAAATGCCAATTTGTTAACTATAATATTGGCAAATATAGATTTAAATAACATCAAGTGTGAGAGTCCAAGGAAACTGTTGCTCTCATATGCGGGACTGCTAGTGTAAACTTTCGGAAGAGGTGGGCTCTTATAAAAATCATCTGTATTTTGACATAAGAGTTTTGATAGCAATATTATCAAAAATCTTTAAAATATTCATATTTTTACCTTAATCCTGATTCTGAGAATTTAACCTAAGGAAAAAACCAAAAGTGTATGTACAACAATAATAATAAGTAAAAATAACCACTATATTATTTATTAAACACCTATTATATCCCAAGGCACTGCGTGATACTTTACATAAATTACCATTAATTCTCATAATAACCCTAAGTGGCAGCTATTAACATTATCTTAATTTTACAGATGAGAAAAGAGAGGCTTATAGGTTAAGTGACAGACTATAAGACCTTGTAAATGTAGGGGAGCTGGGATTCAAATTCAGATCTACTTAAAACTTAAGTCCAAGTTGTCAGCCAGTAAAATATGATGCTACTCTAAAAAAAAATCTAATAAGAAAATGGGGGCAGTAATTTCCCTGGTTTGGTAGTTCTACAGAATATTATTTATACTTGTAAGAAAACCTGGCAACAACCTAAATGTTTAACAAAATGAGAATGTTTAAATGGATATTATATAGCTATTAATTTAACATAATATTGAGATAAATTTTAATGACATTGAAAAAAGTTCCTAATATAGTAAGTGAAAAAAAGCAGGTTTACAACAGTATGTCCAATGTGATCCCCAATACACAACGCACGAGCGCGCGCTTGTGTGTGTGTGTGTGTGTGTGTGTGTCAGAGTAGAGAAGAAAACTGAAGAACGAATATAGACTCGTTTTTATTTTCTCCAATGTTCTTTTCTACATTTCCTAACTTGCTTTTGTAATTAGGAAAAGCTAAGTTTGGGGGTGGTATAGGGGGGAGCACTTACAAGGAAAGAACTGTTCTCTCCAGAATGATAAAAAAAATTATAAATTATTTGTGCTCTGAAAAAAATTTAAAACATCTTCCCATCCTCACACTAAAAATGAAGGGAAGAGAACAGTGGTGGGAGGTAGATGAGAAGTACTAAAGAATGGCATTTATGTTTCATTTTCAAAAGCAACCTGGAAGACTTAGCACCTTGAGACTGGTTTGAGCCCTCAGGCTTTTGTCAACCTATCATTAGGCAACAATGTGAAAATTATTTGCAGGGAAAGATTTTGCAGTATTTCTAATATAGTTCTAAGACACCTATGCTTCACTCTTTTCTCTGTTCTATACTTTAGTTACAGAGAATAATATTTTTCCCCAAGGAAAACCAAAGTCTAATGTGTATTTATTATACAGTTGAAACAGAAATAATTTTTTGTAATTTTAAGGGTGTATGGTTGATCCAGACAGTGAATCATGAATCGAAACAATTTTGAATAAGCTTGTATAGACACTTATTTTCATATTCCTTAGCCTTCTACTCATTTAAAACTATGCCTTGAAAGGCTTCAACAATTTAAAGATTAAATCATAAGTTATTAAGCCATTAATTTAACCATTTAAGCCTCTAAAATCGGCACATATTACCTTCCCCCCTCAAGTCAATTTGCAAGAGATTAAAATAATAAAAATGATAATATCTCACACTTACAAAGCAGCTTTGATCTGCAGGAGCTTAAAGTACTTTTTAAAAACTTTATAGAAAACTAGGACCATCCACCCACATCTCAGAGTACATCTGAGGCTGGCGCTGGCAGCTGGTGAAAAGCAATGGAGTAATTTACCATCTGTACAGAAGATGACTACTTTTGAACAAGTATAAGGAATAGATGAAGTTAGAGAAATGAAATAGAATTAGCTTTTCAATTAAATGGTAAATTCAATGGCCACAGATTCTAAGGGATATTATTTAAATTGTCACCAGAGGAAGTGGTTTAGGGGTTCCTTTTAGAGGGGGAAAAACAAAGAAACTAAACCCCGCCCACACTAGGGAAGTTACTGGTCCTAGGGATCCAGATTTCCTCAAGAAGGACAGACACCACTGATTTCGCCTCAGACACAGAATAAACTATGATACTGAAGTTCTTTTTGTGTCCGGCAGCACTGCCCTCTCTATCACACTCAATTTCAAAGGACCTCACATAGGGCATCGATCTTGACTTTTCTGGTGTGCCAGGCTGGGATCCTGCTCCCAGCTTTGCCTCCTTCATCTGTTCAAGCACTCTACACAAAAATTTCTGCCACCTGCACAAACAAGAGATGAACTTTTCAAACATGTATTTTTGGAGTCTACTTCTTTTTAAATATTATTTTCCTCTTCAGTCTCTTCCCTAAAGAAAAACAGAAGTAATTCTAGCCTACATCTTTATAAAGTGAGGGCCTCTGAGCACAGTCAAAGAACACCTGCGCTGTCTTCACTGCGTGGCACTTCAGTTCTCACGATTCTTTTCCCTGATTCTGATTTTCCCACATCTCTTTAACTTATAGTCAGTTCTTATTTATAAAAGATCAAGCATTACAAAAAAAAAGGATTTAAGTAAAGAAATACTTCAACTAGATACACAACAAAATTTCTTCACTGTCTGGGAGTATACAGAACCAGAATACCAATGGAAACACTGGCTATCAAGTGGGATGAAACAGCCTTTAAGAATCTTTGTCACTGATTTTTGTTGTTTTTAAAGAGCAGCCACCTACTATCCCAGATGCCTTCCATGACACTTGCTTGAATGTATGAGAGATGGACCAGATGATCTTATAGTCCTTTCAGCTCTAGGATTTTATTCTATGTTGTTTTAACTTTCACTGATGGTTCAAAGCAGCCATATTGAGAAGGTGACAAGTGGCACTTGGAGAAAGGAAGAAGGATGAGGACTGCGTTAAGTTGCCAAGCAGACTCTGATTATAATCTAATATACCACCATCCTTTTGTAGAGGTTTTAAAAAATATCTTTCCAATGATATACCTCTGTAAACAGTCAGCTTAAATGGCCCTCAACAGTTTGACTCTGTACATCGATGAAAGAACTTAAAAATCTTAAATGAATTTGCTCCACTCTACTCAAACACTCTTAAATGTATTTTTCAACCAAGTCAATACAAACTCAAGAAATGAAAATGAATTGTAATATGTACTAAACAAAGCATAATTTGGGAGATAAAAGTACTCTAATAAAATGCATTGCAAATTTAAACATATCTAAAACAGCTGCTCTTTCCCCCAAATTCTGCTGATAATTTAATTCCACTTGAGAAGAACATAGTTGCTATGGCTCATACACACACACACACACACACACACATTTATATATATACATATACAGGTACAAAGACAGATAGATATATACATGTGTAAACACACACACACACACACACACACACACACACACACATCTAAGAGATAGGAAATTAAAATGAAAGTAAAAATCTTGATACCTTCTTCATGGCCTGACACTTGGCTGTCTCAGAAAAGCCAATCATCTTATCAGGAGAACAGATCTTGATGAAGGGGAAGTTGGATTCCTCTGCAATCTTTGCCGCTAACGCAGTCTTCCCACTGTGAGGAGGGCCTGCATAAAGATATGAGCAAGTCAGGGGAAAAACGCCAACCTAAGCAAAGGGGAAGAAAACAAGTTTAAACTTTCATCCACAATGTACTGAGGGCTCGACTGGCTGCTCATTAACATTTCCTGACACGATTTCACAGCAGACATGTTTTCTCTTATTTATTAGCAACTAAACTTAATGAACTGATTACCATTTCTCAAAAGTATGATGAAATACACTCCTTTCCCACGTAGCCTTAATCTTTCAAACTTCTGGCTAAATGTATGAAACGCAAGAGTTTTGCTTCTTAAAAAAAAAAAAGAGTGCATTCAAATGCCTATCACTATTTATGTTGTTATCAAATCATTTGTCTGACAAAAAAAAAACAAAACACTATCTTAGGAGATGATATTAGGGAAAAACTGCCTTATTAGAAGCAAATGTGACTTAAAAAGCTAGAATTCTAAAGACGCAGGCCTTCTCATAAAGGAAACTAAATCTACAAATTCACTTGTATTTAGACAGCTTCTCCTTCTTCTCTTCCATGTAATAGAAAATGTGTCCCTCTTCCATCCATAAACCGGCAAACCCTCCTCCCTCCCTTTCCACCTTCGCAGAAACCTGACATTATTGATAGCACCTTCTACCCTATAACTTCCATTTCTTCCTCTTTCCTGAAGCCTTTCCAGCAGCATGTAAACATGCTCTAGCCTACCTGACAATTTAATAAACAAAACAAAAAAGCTCTTTCTGGACTTCATACCCCTCAACACTGCTCTTTCTTCCCTTCAAAATAGAACATCCCTAAATAATTATCTACACTGGCTGCCTCCACTCTTCACCTTCTGCCCATTCTCAAATCAACCCTATGGCTCTTCCATTCCCGTTACATGGAACAGGCTCCCATCAGAGTCACCAATGGCCTCCATGTCACCAAGTCCAATAGATACTTTACCTGTTAGAATCTTAATTAAGTTTATTTGATACACTGATAATGCTCCTCTTTCTTTAAACACTTTTCCTGGCCTCTTTGATAGCACATTCTCTCTTTCCACTCCCTCAGCACCCCACCTTCCCACCCAGTTACTCTTGCTCAGTCTCCTTTGTCAGCTCTTTCTGCTTTACTTAGTCCTTAAATGATCAGTTCTAGGCCCCTTTTACTTCTCAACCTATACCTGTTCTGTGACTTCATCCATTCTCTGGGATGCCATAGCAGTCTATATACTGACAGCTCATGAATGTATACTGCCAGTGCCAGGTCTGGGCACTGGACCTACATATCCAATGGGCTAATTAACATTTTTGATTCAGTTATCCTACAGGAATCTCAAACTCAACATGTCCAAAACTGAACTCATGATCTTTCTTCCCAGATCTGTTTCTCCACTAGTGTTCCCAATTGTAATAAACAGTACAATTTACCAGGCTGAGTATACCAGAAACCAGGGGATCATATCTGATACCTCTCTCATATTCCATCTGGTTACTTAATATTTCTAAGCTTCAGCTTCCATAACTATAAAATAGGGATAACAGTAGCATCTACCCTCAGGATTGAAGTGGGGTTTAAATGAGATAATATATGTAAAGTGCTAGAAGAATAATCGGTAAATAGTAAGAGTTCAAAGAATGATAGCTAATTAGGATTAATAATTATTTATAATCGTAATTATATTCTTTTATTCTACTTCCTAAATATTTCTCAAAATGGTCTACTTATCTCCATCTCTACTACCACTGTTTCTTCGAATTACAATCAGCTCTCATTAAGACTAATGCAACTGCTTCTAACCACTGATCTCTTCTGTACCTTTTTTTGCCCCTCCAATCCATTCTCTATCTCGAAGCAGCTGTGATGTTTTAAAATACAAATCTGATAACATCACTTAACTGTTTAAAAACCCTAGAAATGACTTCCCACTGCCCCTCTAGATAGAGTCAAAATCTTTAACACGGTCTACAGGTCTTAGCTTGAACCGGCTCCTATGTACCTCTTCAGTCTCACGTCTGGTCAATCTCCCTTTCTACTTCAGTCTCCTTCGTACCCAGGGCTTTTTCACATGCTGGTCCCAAAGTACTCTTTCCTGATTATTTTGTCTGGCCAGCTTCTCCCCATCCTTCAGGTCTTGGCTTTATATTTTTCTCTCTGTGAGCCTCACCCCCAGAGCCCTGGAAGGGGTTAGATTCCCCTGTCATGTGTACTCCACGAACTTCTCTGTTGTACTAATCATAACTGTAAACAAACAATTGGTGACTAGAATGTCCTTCCCTTTTTGTCTACTAGGCAAAATTCTAACTGATTCTTCGAAAAGTCTAAATTAAATACCACCTCTAAACACCACTCTAAATTAAACACTAAATTAAATTTCCTTGACCACCACCCCTGGGCAAAATGGCTTGCATTCATACACATATTCACACATATACACTGTAGTTAGGCATTTGTTTACATCTTTTTTCATGACTAAACTGAACTCCATGAATGCCTTTGTATCCCCAGTGACTAGTTCAATGCCTAAAACACGGTACGTGCTCAGTGAATATTTATTTAATGAATACTAAGTGATGTTACACAGTCTATTAAGTAAAACAGGAATTTAGATATATCATTTAGATTAAGTAAAACAGGAATTTAGAAAACTAGTTGCTATCATTCATCAGTAACATTCTACCCCCAAGAGAACTTTAACTTGTGCACAATATTGGTACATAGACTGGATTACTATTATCAGATGATGAACAGGTTTAAAAATAAAAATAATTCATTTTTCTGAAATGTGCTAAATAGCTTTATAAAAGAGCTTTTTTTGAAAAAAAACTTAATACCATCTCATTGTTCTTTCTCACCTTCCAAAAGGACGCTAACCAGTGGTGTGC